GGACAGCTGGCTAAACATGCAGCTGGCCCCCTGGCAGCCTAGTAGTAGTAGGCCTGAGTGGACCAGTTCTTGGGCCTCCAGGTGGCTTGCTTGGGTGCTGGCAGTGGCAGGAATGGGCCAGATGGGTGTCAGGTCCTCAGGCCTGACATGGACACCAGCAGTTGCGGTGGTGGGCCAAACTGGCCAATCCCCAGGCCCCCAGGTAGCACACGTGTGGGTGCCAGTGCCAGTGGCAGGTTGGGCAGGCCAGTACCAAGGTCTTCAGTAAATCCACATGGGTGGGAGTGATGGGCAGGACAAGTCTATTCTCAGGCCCCTGAAAGGCATGCATAAGTGCCAATGGTGTCAGGCAGGGCAGAACAATCTCCAGACCCCTGAAGGTTATATGTGAGAGTCAGTCGTAGCAGGTGGGGCAGATCAATCTCCAGGCCGCTGAACAACATGTATATACATTAGCAATGGCAGTTGGGGTGAGTTGATCCCTAGGCTTCTAAATGATGCATGCAGGCACTGGTGAAGGTGGAGGTAGGCAGGTCTGACCTGTCCTTATGACTCCAATGGTGCGTATAGGTGCCAGTTGCACGGGTCCTTAGACAACCCAGTGCCTGGGTCCTTAGACAACATTCTGGGGCACTGGTGTTGGTGGTGGCAGTGGACAGGTCAGACCCACCCTCAGGCCCTCTGATGGTGTGCATGGGCACTGGCAGTGGTGAGCAGGGCAGGTGGATCCCCAGGCCTCCAAACAAAAAATGCGTGCAGGCTCAACTGGTGCAAGCTGTAGATTGGGTATAACCTCAGGTCCTCCCATGGTGTGTATGGCCACTGGCTGTGGTGGGTGGAGCAAATTGATCCCTGTGCTCCTGGGACCATTTTTTCATTAAGCTGCTTGGTGCTATTTTTTATTGCTCAGGTTTAAGTTTTCTGTATATTCTGGATATTAATATTTTATCAGATATGATTTGAAAATATTTTCTTCTATCCTGTGGATTGTCTTTTTATTCTATTAATAGGGACCTATGATGCACAGAAGTTTTTAATTTTAATGAAAGCTATTTTTCCTTTTGTTGCCTGGGACTTTGGTGTCATATCCAAAAAATCATTGCTAAATCCAATGTCATTAACATTTTTCTTTATGTTTTCTTCTAAGAGTTTTGTCATTTAGCTCTTGACATTTCAGGAATTCACTATTGATAACACCCAACAGCTTGGTTGGATGCTGAGTTAAATAGCCACTTTCAAAGCATGGGATACTGTATGATTCCATTTCTATAACATTTTAGGGGTGACAAATTGTAATAGAAAACAGATAAGTGGTTTTTAGTGGTTAGGATATGTGGGCAGTTGTGAATCCTAAGTGGTAACATGATGGAGTTTCTTCTTTGTGATGTATTCACTCTTGTGTTCTATTTGTGGTGGTAATTGCGTGAATCTACACGTGTGATAAAGTTTTACAGAACTATGCTAAATAAATAAATAAAAGAGTGCCTGGAAAACTTGGTGAAATCTGAATAAGGTCTGTACCCAAGTTAATAATGTTGTATCAGCATCAGTTTCCTGGTTTTGACAATGCATTAGGATTATATAAACTATTGCCACTGGGAAAAGCTGGGGAAAGGTTACATGGAAACTTCTTGTGAGTCAAACAATTTTGAAATAAAGTAATTTAAAATCCTCTTTAAAAATCTCTTCAATATTTGGCTATTGTACTAAGAATAAAATCTAACCTGTTTTCCAAAGCATACAGTGCTTAGCATGATGTAGCCCTTGCCTATCTTTTTTCTCACCTTAACTACTTACTAGTCTCCCCCTTCTACTATACACGAGCCATCATTTTCCTGTCAATACCTTAAACATAATAACGCCTCTCTTACCTCAGGGACTTTGTAACTGTTGTTCTTTCTGTCTAGAATGCTCTTATCACAGCTGTCTCATGAAAGATACATACTCTCCTCTAGGTGGTAAGATTTTTTCATTATTCGTTCAACAAATATTTATAAATGCAGGTTTGAGAGGCAAAGCCTCAAGGCAGCAGTGTAGTTTTGAACATATTGGTTTGAAGTGCTTCTGAGACAGCTGTAAGTCACGATTAAGAATCTAATTAGATCCGCTAATCTAGAACTAGATATAAAATTGGGAAATGGCTTACAATTTGATGAGTTGTACAGGAATTGGTTAGTACTTGAAGCCATGTGAGTGAAATCAGATCACCTAGGAAGAGAATATACTCTGAGAAGAAGGGCCTAAGGCCAGACCCTGGGAACCATTAATACAGCAGGAGGGAGTGGTAGCATGGAAGCCACGTAAAAGTGTTTCAAATGGGAAGATTCATCCAATGTATCAAATGCTGCTAAAACATCGGGTAAGATTAACAGAACAATGTTTATTAAATTTAACAGCAGGTATAGCCATACATTGATGCTATAACTAGAAAAATACTTTTAAAAATAATTATACAGGCTAGGCATGGTAGTTCACACCTATAATCCCAGCACTTTGGGAGGCTCAGGCAGGAGGAATTGCTTGAGGCCAAGAGTTCAAGACCAGCCTGAGAAACATAGCAAAACCCCATCTGTACAAAAAAATACCAAAATTAGCCAGGCATGGTGGCACACACTTGTTGTCCCAGCTACTCGGGAGGCTGAGGTAGGAAGATTCCTTAAGCCTGAAAGGCAGAGGTTGCAGGGAGCTGTGATCGAGCCACTGTGCTCCAGCCTGGGTGGCAGAGTAAGACCTTGTCTCAAATGATAATAACACAAAGATTAGCAGTAATGTAATTGTTCTGTCATAGATCACTAGAAATAACATAAGTTGATATAATTCTTTTATAAATTATTTTGGTAATATGTATCAAGAGAGTTTTGTTTGTTGTTTTTAGAGATGGGGATCTCACTCTATTACTCAGGCTGGAGTGCAGTAGTGTGATTATAGCTCACTGCAGCCTTAAATTCCTGGGCTTACATGATCTTCTTGCCTCAGCCTCCTGAGTAGCTGGATCTACAGGTGTGCACCATCATGCCAGGCTAAAAGAGGTGTTTTTTTGTTTGTTTGTTTTGGAGACAGAGTCTCTCTGTTGCACAGGCTGGAGTGCAGTGGCATGATCTCGGCTTACTGCATCCTCTGCCTCCTGAGTTCAAGTGATTCTCCTGCCTCAGCCTCCCGAGTAGCTGGGACTACAGGTGTGAGCCATCAGGCCCAGCTATTTTTTATATTTTTAGTAGAGACAGAGTTTCACCATGTTGGCCAGGCTGGTCTCAAACTCATGACCTCAGGTGATCCACCTGCCTTGGCCCCCCAAGTGCTGGGATTACAGGTGTTGAGCCACTGTGCCCGGCCTGAAAGAGTTTTTAAAGTGTGTATAACTTTTGACCCAGCAATCACACTTCCAAGAATCTTATCAAAAGAAATAGTCCTAACCATGGAAAAGACTGTATATCTGATAATGTTCCTAGTAATAATATTTACCAATAGTGAAAAAATAAAACCACCAAAATGTCCAATACAGAAGAATTAAGCAAACGATGATAATTCACTCAGTGAAAAATTATGCAGACATTGAAAATGATGTTTACAGACAACAGGAATGTAAAACAGTAGCCTGACCTTGGTGAAGCTGAAGAAAATGCTAATGTGGTTTTTGCCTTTTTGATAATTTCTATGTGTTATTTTTTTCCATGTTTATAAAATTATCTTTAATGAGCATGAATTACTTTCTTAATCAAAAATATATTTTTTTAAGCTTGTTTATATGATTATTTTAACTTTTCTTGATATTTTTCCTATAATCTTCTTATATGTGTAATTTATTATATGTTACTTCCATCTTACTCTTTTCTACATTAAGAATGCTTTATTTCCTCTTTCCTCAGCAGTTACGCAAAAGATAGTTGTATTTAAAATTCTGAATAGTGAATATGATTTTCAGAAACAAAACTATATTATTTTTTATTAGGTAAACCTATATCTCTCTATGAATATCATCAAATGGGCTAGGTACGGTGGCTCACGCCTGTAATCCCAGCACTTTGGGAAGTGGAGGCAGGTGGATCAGCTGAGGTCAGGAGTTCGAGACCACCCTGACCAACATGATGAAACCTTGACTCTACTGAGTTAAAAATATATATATTAGCAGGGCATGGTGGTGTGTGCCTGTAATCCCAGCTACTTGGGAGGCTGAGGCAGGAGAATTGCTTGATCCTGGGAGGCAGAGGTTGTAGTAAGCCAGATTGTGTACTCCAGTCTGGGCAACAGAGTGAAACTCTGTCTCAAAAAAAAAAAAATTATCAAATGAATATTCTTCATAAAGGCCTTCCCTGACCATTATTCCTACTTCTCAAAATAGGTTCTACTATCAGATAATTCCATAGTCCCCATAGCTGCCCCTTCTGACACTCATGATAACAACCTTTAAGGTTCCTTTGTGGATGGATGCCATGTTTTTAGAAAATTAAACAAAGTCAGTATTAGAGGATTAGGACAGAAAGAAGCTATGGAATTCTAGACTAGCCCTCATCATCTGGTTTTTTAATTCTAGAAATTTCATAGGGGAGCTTTTCAGATCCATCTGATTCCTAAGAGCATTTTTCTTAAAAGTCCCCCAGATATCATTTGAAACCTGCCTTGAAAGAGTATGTCATTTTGAAGGTAAACTCATGTAGTAAGAATTCTAACAGATTAGTTTTAGAAACTCTACTATGTATTTCATTGAGATTAAAACTAGCATTATTTATTTAATCATCCCCATAGTTTCAGTTCATTCAGGATTCTGATTATGTGTAGAGTTTTTGATGAGTTGGAAACTGTATTATGACTTATTTATAATTCACAAAATTCGCATGGGAAGGAAGCTATAAGGTAGAAAGAACAAAGCTGAATCTTGAGCATGTGGTAAATTTACAAATGTAAACGATGTCTTAACTAAAATAACAAATTCAATATACATGCTGTAATATCAGAATAGCTATGAAAAGAGTAAAAAATGAAATTATATTTTGTTTTTACAGAATTCCGAAGTACTCAGCACACAGATGGCCACACTGGGGCAGAAGCCTACCATATATACAATTCTGAAGAGAAAAGTTTATTTATCAAATGAGAAAATGAAAAAAGGGTATTTAATTTTTTTAATTTTAAATATAAAAAATACAAAAACTTAAACTAGATTTTAAAATCCTAGTGGAACTTTATAGAATATGTCTCATATGTTATTTTCAAGTGCCTTCTTTTATAAAACACAAAAGATTTTGATAATCAGAACTAACTACTAACTCAGAAAATGCTAGACTCTTGGATTCAAGTTTTACATTTGCGTCAATACCTAATCCTAAATCCAAGAGCTTCATTCGGGATGATGGCAAATCCTGGAAATATCTCAAAATGTGTTCTACTGGTTCATAAAAGTGAACCACAGTGGTGTCCGGTGCCCATACACCGCCCCCCCGCCCCCGCACACAAATTCTATCTGAGAGGCAAAATACGTTACTGTCAAAGTTAGTAGGTTATCATGAGGTATAGACAGACTTTCTCAGTCTATTAAGCACCTAGGCACAGGGCAAGGTGCTTATAACTAAAGGATAAAGTACCTGCCTTCAGTAATCTTACGTTTAGTGTGAGAGACAAATGAGAAACGGATATTATGTAGGAGTGAGCCCGGGGTACAGGGGAACACAAAGAGGGTACACCACCTCTGGCCTGGAGGAGAGGGAGTCAGGGAGGACTTTCCTAAAAAGGTGAAAAGAAGTAAAACCTAGCCAACTGGGGGAGGATTCCAAACCTAGGAAATGACAAACAGCAGGTCCTCAAATAATGTTCATTATAACATTGATTAGAAAAAAATTGATTCCCTGCTGGGGCCACTGCTGTGTGGAGTTTGCATGCTCTCTCCGTGTCTTTGTGGGTTTTCTCCAGGTATTCTGGTTTCTTCCCACATCCCAAAGCTGTGCACTTGAAGTTCATTGGTGTGTCTGCATGGTCCCAGTTGGAGTTTGTGTGGGTGTGAATGTCAATGTTCTGCTCTACGATGGGAAAGGCGTCCTGTCCGGAGTGGGCTCCTGCCTTGAGCCCTGAGCTGCCAGAATGGACTCTGGCCAACCACAACCCTGAACTGGAATAAGCAGGTTAGAAAATGAACAATTGGAGGGATGAATACAAACTATTGTAAAATAAAAATGTGTAAAGTAGACAAGACTCTGACATGACAAAAAAGTAAGCAGTGCTGTAGGAAAGTTCTCAGAGAGCTGCCATATTTGTGATGGTTGAGTTTTGGACTATGTAACGATAGGTGTTTCTTAACAACATGGCAAGCATTCATTTCTTGATTTATCCCACCATCACTATGATCGCCCTTACTCACTGATTCACCAAGAGTTGGGCAAATAATTAATTTTATTAATCTTTCTTAAATGTATGTGTATAGCTCACATTTATTGCAGTGTTTAATAGCAGTGTTTTGGGTCTTTACTTAGAAGTTTAGTGATGTTTTCTTGACCAGAAATATGTTGTAGGAACTTAACTCTTGTTTATATCAATTAGCCAGTGGTAAAATTGGTTTCATTACATGTAGTTTCTCTTGAAGTTGCAGTTTCTAAGAACCTATTACATTAAGTGAGAACTTACTGTATACAGGGCCCTTCAAACTGAGACCTGAGAAAAGAGATGCATTTTGGAGATGGAAACAAAAAGTTCAATTCATGGGTAGAGAGAAAGGAGTGCCATTTAGGAGGATAAAACATTTTAAAATAGTAATAATAATTTGAAGCTGAAATTCTGATTTTATAAAACAGGAGGTTGGAGGGTAGAGAGGCAGGAAAAAATTACTATAGATTCAAACTAAAGTGTCTGATTTAGCAGGAAGGTAGGAAGGTTATAGATAACATTGGTTTCTTTTCCATTTTGAACTGCTTTATTGAACTATAATTTACATATCATACAATTTACCCTTTTAAATGATAAAATTCAGTGGTTTTAGTATATTCAGCTATGCCACTATCACCATTATCTATCTAGAACATCTTTAACTACCCAAAAAAGAAATCCCATTTGCTCTTCCCTCCAGCCCCTGGCACTACTAATGTATTTTGTGTCTCTATGGATTTACCTATTCTGGATAATTCATATCAAGAAAATCATACCATCTATTCTTTGGAAACTGGCTTTTTTCAGTTAACATTATGTTTTCAAGGTTCATTCATTCCTTTTTATTGTCAAATACTATTATATGAATACACAACATTTTATTTATTCACTTCTCTGTTGATGAATATTTTAGTTATTTCCATTTTTGGGCTAATATGAATAATGCTGCTATGAACATTTGTGTATAAGTTTTTGTGTGGCCATATGCTTTTATTTCTCTTGAGTGTATACCTAGGAGTGAAATTATTGGATCATATATTATGTCTGTGTTTAATTTTGAGAAATTGCCAGACTGTTTTTTAAACCAGCTGCACCATGTTAATACTTTCATTCCTGGTGTATGAGGATTGCAGTTTCTCCACATCTTCACCAACACTGTTATTATCTGTTTTGTTTTGTTTTTACCCATTATAGCCATCCAAGTGGGTATGAAGTGGTCCTTCATTGTGGTTTTGTATTTCTCTCATGTCTAATGATGTTGAGCATATTTTCATATGCTTATTGTCTGTTTGTATATTTTCTTTTCAGATCCTTTCCCATATTATAATTGAGTTGTCTTTTTATTATTGAGCTCTAAGAAAAGCTTTTTTAAAATAATAATTATTTTTTTTTTTTAAACAGTTTCACTCTTGTCACCCAGGCTGCAGTGCAATGGTGCGATCTCAGCTCATGGCAACCTCTGCCTCCCAGGTTCAAGCAATTCTCCTGCCCCAGCTTCCCGAGTAGCTAGGATTACTGGTGCGTGCCGCCAGTTCCTGGCAATTTTTGTATTTTTAGTAGAGACAGGATTTCACCATGTTGGCCAGGCTGGTCTGGAACTCCTGACCTCAGGTGATCCACCCGCCTCAGCCCCTCAAAGTGCTGGGATTACAGGCGTGAGCCACCACGCCTGGCCCTAAGAGTTCTTTATATTCTAGATGATTTGCAAAAATTGTCCCCCATTCTGTGAATTGTCTTTTCAGGTTCTTCATGATCTCCTTATAGCACAAAAGTTTTACATTTTTATGAACTCCTAATTACCTATTTTTTTCCTTTGGTTCTGTGTGCTTTGGGTGTCATATCAGAGAACCATTGACAAATCCAAAGTCACAAAGTACTACACTGTTTTTTCACCTGTGCGTATTATAATTTTAGCTCTTAAGTCTTTGGTCTATTTTGAGTTTATATTTGGTCTAAATTTACAGTGAGTTCATTTTATGGTAGGGGTCCAAATGAATTCTTTTTTTTTTTAAATTGTACTTTAGGTTCTGGGGTACATGTGCAGATCATTCAGGATTGTTGCGTAGGTACACACATGGCAATGTGGTTTGCTGCCTCCATCCCCCCATCACCTACATCTGGCATTTCTCCCCATGTTATCTGGAGATCTAGTTGTCCCAGCATAATTTGTTGAAAAGACTATGGTTCCCTTATTGTTTTGCACTCTTGTTGAAAGTCATTTAACAGTGAATGTGACAGTGTATTTCTGGATTTTCAAATTCTATTCCATTTCCCTACATATTCATCCTTATGCCAATACCACATTGTCTTGATTACTGCAGCTTAGTATTAAGTTTTAAAGTCAGGAATTGTTAGTCCTCCAACTTTGTTCTTCTTTTTCAAGATTGCTTTGGCTGCACTTTTTAACTGACTTAACTTTTTAAGTCAATTTTAAAGTTTGTCAATTTCTTCAAGGAAGTCAGCTGGGATTTTGTAAGTGATTGTGCTGGATCTGTAGCTCAATTTGAGGAGTATATCATCTTAACAATAGGAAGTCTTCCCATTCATGAACATGGGATGTCTTTCCATTTATTTAGATATTGTTTACCTTCTTTCAACAATGTTGTATAGTTTTGTGAATAAAGTTTTTTATTTCTTTCACTCATTTCCTAATTATTTTATCCTTTGTGATGCAGTTGAAAATGGAATTGGTTTCTTAATTTCTGGACTGTTCATTGCAAGTGTATACAAATACAATTGGTTTTTCTATATCAATCTGATATCCTGAAATCTTGCTAAACTTGTTCATTAGTTCTAATCATTTTTTGTGGACTCCTTGGGATTTTCTGTATACAAAATCATGTCATTGGTGAATAGGAATAGTTTTACTTCCTCATTTCCAATCTGGATGCTATTTATTTCTTTTTCTTCTCTAATTGGCCTGACTAGAACCTCTAGTATAAAATGTTGAATATAAATGGTCAAAACCGATATTCTTGTGTTGTTCCTAATATTAAAGAGAAAGCATTCAGTCTTTTACCATTAAGTATGATGTTAGTTGTGAGTTTTTCATATATTCCCTTCGTTAGGTTGAGGAAATTCCCTTCAGTTCCTAGTTTTTTTAAGTGTCTTCATCATGAAGGGGTATTGGTTTTTCAAAAGCTTTTACTGAATCTAAGTGATCATGTGGTTTTTGGTCGTTTACATTAATTGATTTTTGGATGTTAAACCCATGTTGCATTCCTGGCATAAACCTTCCTTGGTCATGGTGTATAACCCTATTTATATGTCACTAGATGCAGTTTCCTAGTGTTTTGTTGAGGATTTTGCATCTATATCCATAAGAGATGTTGGTATGTTGTTTTCTTCTCTTGTGAAATTTTGTCTGATTTTGGTATTAGGGTAATGCTGGCTTCATAGAATGAGTTGGACATATTCCCTCCTGCTCTATTTTTTGGCGGAATTTGTGAAGGATTGGTATTAATTCTTTAAATGTTTGGTAGAATTCATCCATGAGGCCATCTTGGTCTGTGAATAGGATTTCTTTTCTTTCTTTTTTTTTTTGAGTCAGAGTTTTGCTCTTGTTGCTCAGACTGGAGTGCAATGGCACGGTCTTGGCTCACCACAACTTCCACCTCCTGGGTTCAGACGATTCTTCTGCCTCAGCCTCCTGAGTAGCTGGGATTACAGGCATGCGCCACCACACCTGGCTAATTTTGTATTTTTAATAGAGATGGAGTTTCTCCATGTTGGTCAGGCTAGTCTCAAACTCCCGAC